TAGACCTAAAACTTATACCAATAATGACAAAAACCTACATGAATCGGCACTCCAGCGAAGGGCAGAGATTGTGTGACTTGGTTTTAAAAAAACACATGGAACCAACCATATACCCTTTCCAGACATGCACTTTCTTTTTTTTTTTTTTTAATTTAACTTTTATTTTTAGTTAAGGGGTACATGTGCAGGTTTGTTACATAGGTAAACTCCGATCATGAGGTTTTGCTGTACAGATTATTTCTGTACCCATTAGTACACACCCAAGTATTAGGCCTCAGTACCCATTAGCTCTTTTTCCTCATCCTCTCCCTCCTCCCACCCTCCATCCTCAAGTAGACCCCAGTGTATGTTGTCTCCCTCTATGTGTCCATGTGTTTTTATCACTTAGCTCCAATTTATAAGTGAGAATATGTGGTATTAGGTTTACTGTTCCTGTGTTAGTTTGCTAAGGAGAATGACCTCCAACTCCATCCATGTTCCTGCAAAGGATATGATCGCATCCTTTTTTATGGCTGCATAGTATTCTATGGTGTAGATGTGCCACATTTTCTTTATCCTGTGTACCATTGATGGACATTTAGGTTGATTCCAAGTCTTTGCTATTGTGAATAATGCTGCAATGAACATTTGTGTACCTGTAAGACACATACTTACTTTTTTATTGAATTTATTTTATTTTACTTCAAATTCCAGGAAACATGTGCAGAATATGCAGGTTTGTTGTATACATATAGCCTGCCATGGTGGTTCAGAAAACTCTGAGCCTATTGACCCATCCTGTAAGTTCCTCCCCCTCACCCACTACTCCCCAACAGGACCTGGTGTGTGTGGTTTCCCTCCCTGTGCCCATGTGTTCTCATTGTTCAACTCCCACTTAGGAGTGAGAACATGTGGTGTTTGGTTTTCTGTTCCCATGTTAGTTGGGCTGAGGATGATGGCTTCAAGCTTCATCCATGTCCCTGAAAAAGACATGAACTCATTCCTTTTTATGGCTGTGTAGTATTCCACGGTGTATATGTACCACATTTTCTTTATCCAGTCTATCATTGATAGGCATTTGGGTTGGTTCCATATCTTTGCTGTTGTAAAAAGCTCTACAATAAACATACATGTGCATGTGTCTTTATAGTAGAATGATTTATATTCCCTTGAGTATATAACCAGTCATGAAATTGCTGGGTCAAATAGTATTTCTGGTTCTAGATCTTTGAGGAATGGCCACACTGTCCTCCATAATGGTGGAACTAGTTTATATTCCCACCAATTGTGTAAGTGTTCCTGTTTATCCACAGCTTTGTCAGCATCTATTGTGTCTTGACTTTTTAATAATTGCCATTCTGACTGGTGAGAGATGATATGTTATTGTGGTTTTGATTTGCATTTCTCTAATGATCGGCGATATTAAGCTTTTTTTTCAGGTTTCTTGGCCACATAAATGTCTTCTGAGAAGTTTCCTTCATACCCTTTGACCAATTTTTAATGGGGCTGTTTTTTTTCTTGTAAATTTGTTTAAGTTCCTTGTAAACAAATAGGTGAACTCTCATCATTCTTGTTTAAACACCTAACAGGCATTCTAACCAGTGCAACATGGCAAGAAAATGAAATAAAAGACCAAGAGAAGAACTTGGTATGGTGGCTTATGACTGTAATCCCTACATCTTGGGAGGCTGAGGTGGGAGGATCACTTGAGTTCAGTAGTTTGTGAACAGTCTGATAGTGAGACCTCATCTCTACCAAGTAAAAATAATTTTAAAAGGAAAAACATCGATAAACAGGAAAGGAAGAAATAAATGTTTTTCTTTGTCACCAGCTTCATTGCATATGTAGAAAACACTAGGGAATTCTGAGAAAGTCTCTGGAATTAATCAGAATTAATCTGGAATTAATTATTGAATTTGCAAAATAGTTCACAAAATACATTAACAAGTCACTTAGATGAGCATGAAAAGATAGCAAACAATGCTAGTCATCAAAGAAGTGAATGTTGAAATCACAATGAGAAACCACCACACATCACCTGGAATAGGTAAAGTTAAAAAGACATATGAAAAATCTAAATACTGGTAAGAAGATGGAAAAAATAACAATGTCTGATATTGCTGGTAGGAGTGCAAAAAATGCTGCAGCCAATTTGTAAAGCGGTTTGGCAATTTCTTATACAGGTGCCCATCCATTACCACAGGACCCAGCAATCCCACATATATGTACTTATCCAAAAAAATAAAAGTGTAAGGCCACACTTGTAAGCAGTTATTTATAGTGGCTTCATTAATAACAAACCCTAACTGCAGTAATCGCCATGTCTATCAACTGGAGAATAGAGGAACCAATAAATAAGCTGGGAGTCCAGCAATATCCGGCAGCTGCTCAGCAGCAAAAATGAATGGATGGCATCATCTCAAACATTGTTATGCTGAGCGAGAGACCAAACAAAGGACTACATCACATATGATCTCGTGTCCATGAAATTCTAGAAATTTCACTACTGCAGTGACAGAAAGCAGAGCAGTGGTTGAGTGAAGGGGAGGGGTGAGGGTGGGAGGCAGGGATTAAATAGAAAGGGGCATAAAAAAAGTTTTTAGGAAAAAGAAACTGTTCTCTACAGGGCCACAATTCCGGAGTGACAGGATGGTGGGAACTAAGGGGAGAGGAGGGTGTGAGGGATGAGGGGCAGAGAGAAGGGCTGGGGAGGCAGGAGGTGAGGAAAAGGAGCAGGGGAAAGGACTCTAAAGCAGTGGAGGAGCCTAGCAGGGGGTTCTTTGCATGTGGTGTTTCTCTACTGACCAGTGTGGTAGTTACAGGAGTGTAAATAATTAACAATATTCACCAAAAAGCACAGCTAAAACTGGAAAATTTTATTACATGTAAATGCCCTAATAAGAAAAAAAAGGGGGAGGAGTGCAGAGAAAAAAGGCAAAAATAAAGACATTTTTAGATCATCAAAACCATAAAATTCATTTCCTAGGGGTCCTGTACTACATGTAATTTTAAAGGAAGTTCTTCTGGCTGAAGGGAAATGATCCTAGATGGTGACCCAGATACACCCATTTTCTTTCATTTTCTTAATTGCCTGAAGGCGTATGGCTGCTTTTCTAAAACAAAAGCTATTACACTGTATCATTGAGTTTATAATGCATATTGATTAATATATACAACAATTGTAGCAAAATGGTAGGTTAAATGAAACTATACCATTTGAAGTGTCCTTTATTTTGCTCTATGTAGTTTAATTTTACCCGAACTTCACTGTGAAAAGTCAAGGAATCAGGTATCCATTCTTACAATAAAAAATCAGTGTAAAGAAATATAGCTGAAAGCCACTAGGAGAATTAAAACTATAAACTAAAAAAAAAGTTTCCTTGACACGTAAGAAAGTAGCAAAGGAGGAACAGAAACAAAAAGATATGAGACAGGGCTGGGCATGGTGCCTCACGCATGTAGTCCTAGCACTTCGAGAGGCCTAGGTGGGTGGATCAACTGAGGTCAGGAGTTCGAGACCAACCTGACTAATGTAGTGAAACCCCATCTCTACTAAAGATACACAAATTAACCAGGCATGGTGGCTCATGCCTGTAATCCCAGCTACTCTGGAGTCTGAGGCACAAGAATCACCAGGAGACGGAGGCTGAAGTGAGCCAAGATTGTGCCACTACATTGCAGCCTGGGCAACAGAGTAAGACTCTGCCTTAAAAAAAAAAAAAAAAAGATAAGACAAATTGAAAACATATAGCAAAACGGTAGACCAAAATCCAACCGTTGTAAGTGAAGAAATGACATGACCCGAGTCACATTAGCAGGACTGCTGAGCATTATGGAGAGAACAGACATGAGCAAGAGGCGAGGGGACAGTGTTAGTGCCACAATTCAGGAGTGACAGGGTGGTGGGAACTGAGGGTAGAGCAGGGTGTGAGGGATGAGATGGGCAGAGAGAAGGGCTGGAGAAGTAGGAGGTGAGGAAAAGGAGCAGGGGAAAGGACTCTAAAGCAGTGAAGAGCCTAGCTGGGGGTTCTTTGCATTCGTATTTAATACACTTTGTGGAACTTACTAAAAACTAACTTATGATTCAAAAAAAGGGTTACAAAAATCCCAAATGTCCAAATAAAATATGCACACTGCTTAGATGTGCATAGTTCACAAAAGCAGGCAGTGCTTGAGCTTTGGTGAAGAGCATGGAGCTCTTACAACTTTGAGGTGATGACTACAGGTTGCCGGTTGCAATATACAGTAACAAACCTGCTTCTTTGTATTCAGGAGATGTTCTGGACTCACACAGGGAAACTCGGGCTAGGGAATGAAGAGAATTTTAAGTGCAACAACCCAGAGTCACAGAAGCACAGCCTTGGAAACTAAAACAAGAGCTTTGTTTAATTGTAATGCTTAATGTAACGTAACGTAAATGTAATTGACACAGGTCTTTTACAGATTGGAATTCTAATCATTCTGGTTTATAGAGAAAACCTGCGTCTCTGCACCTCCATTTCCAGGGCGAGCTCACTCTCCAGTATCAAGTTCTCCGCGGTGAGTTTCCTTGTACAAGAGTCCAAGGGGAGAGGTAAGGAGTGGGAGGCAGGGAGTCCAGTTCAGGGATGCGGATTCCAGGACGAGAAGTGATGGAGAAGGGACTGGGCGCAGCCTGGGGTTCTCTCTCCGGTTTCCACAGACAGATCTTTGGCCAGGACTCGGGCAGACAGTGTGACAAAGAGGCTTGGTGTAGGAGAAGAAGGATCAGGACAAAGTCCCAGGTCCCGGGCGTGGCTGTCAGGGTCTCAGGCTCCAAGGGCTACAACTGCACTGAGGAGGCGCAGCGTTGGGGATTCCCCACTCTCCAGAGTTTCACTTATTCTTCTGACCTGTCAGGTCCTTCTTCCAACATACTCATGAGAATTTCCAGTTCCCACTCCCATTGGGTGCCGGGTTTCTAGAGAAGCCAATCAGTGTCGCCGCGGTCCCGGTAGTAAAGTCCCCGAGCACCCACAGGGACTCAAATTCTTCCCAGATGCCTGGGATGGGGTCATGGCGCCTGGAACCCTCCTCCTGCTGCTCTCGGGGGCCCTGGCACTGACCAAGACCTGGGCGGGTGAGTGCAGGGTCAGGAGGGAAAGGCATCTGCGGGGAGGAGAAAGGGGCCCCCCCAGCGGGGTGCGAGGAGGATCGGCCTGGTCTCAGCCCCTCCTCGCCCCCAGGCTCCCACTCCTTGAGTTATTTCCACACCGCCGTGTCCCGGCCGCAGGAGCCCAGCTTCATCGCCTTGCGCTACGTGGACGACACTCAGTTTCGACCTCGAGTCCAAGGACCGAGGATAGAGCCGCGGGAGCCTTGGATGGACCACCAGGAGCCGGAGTATTGGGACCACCAGACAAGGAATGCCAAGACCTGCACACAGACTTTCCGAGAGAACCTGGGGACCCCGCTCCGCTACTGCAACCAGAGCGAGGCAGGTGAGTGACCCCGCACGGGGCGCAGGTCACGACCCCCCCATCCCCTACGGACGGCTAGGTCGCCCCGAGTCTCCGGATCCTCAACCCGGGAGAGCTCCAGGAGCCTTTACCTGGTTTCATTTTCAGTTTAGAACAAAATCCTTTCGGGTTGGTGGAGTGAGCAGGGGATAGGTGAGCGGGCCTGACCGCGAGGGCGGGTCCAGGGTCTTACACCATCCGGAGGAAGTAGGGCTGCGACCTGAGCCGCTGGCATCTCCTCCGCGGGTACCAGCAGGAGGCTTAGGATGGCAAGGATTACATCTCCCTGAACGAGGACCTGAGCTCCTGGACCGCCGCAGACACAGTGGCTCAGATCACCCAGGTCAAGTGGGAGGCGGCCTGTGAGGCGAAGAGGCTGAGAGTCTGCGTGGGGGACGAGTGCGTGGAGTGGCTCTGCACACACCTGGAGAATGGGAAGGAGACACTGCAGCGCGCGGGTACCAGGGGCAGTGGGGAGCCTTCCCCATCTGCTATAGATCTCGCGGGCTGGCCTCCCACGAGGCGGGGAGGAAAATGGGATCAGCCCTAGAATATCTTCCTCCCTTGAAAGGAGAATGGCATGAGTTTTCCTGAGTTTCGTCTGAGGGCCCCCTCTGCTCTCTAGGACAATTAAGGGATGAGGCCTCTGAGAGAATGGAGGGGAAGAAAGTCCCCGGAATACTGATGGAGTCCCCTTTGACCCCTGCAGCAGCCTTGGGCACCGTGACTTTTTCTCTCAGGCCTTGTTCTCTGCCTCACACTCAAATGTTTGAAGGTCTGATTCCAGCTTTTCTGAATCCCTCGGCCTCCACTCAGGTCAGCACCAGAAGTCGCTGTTCCTCCCTCAGCGACTAGAACTTTCCAAGGAATAGATTATTCCAGGTGCCTGTGTCCAGGCTGGTGTCTGGGTTCTGTGCTCCCTTCCCCACCCCAAGTGTCCTGTCCAGCCTCAGGATGTTCACATGGGTCCTGCTGGATGTCCCATGAAGACTGCAAAATGCTTGAATTTTCTAACTCTTCTCGTCAGACCCCTGCAAAGACACACATGACCCACCACCCCCTCTCTGACCATGAGGACACCCTGAGGTGCTGGGCCCTGGGCTTCTACCCTGAGGAGATCATACTTACCTGGCAGTAGGATGGAGAGGACCAAACTAAGGACACCAAGCTTTTCGAGACCAGACCTGCAGGGGATGGAACTTTCCAGAAGTGGGCAGCCGTGGTGCTCTGCCCCTTCCGGGGCAGAGCAGAGATACATGTGCCATGTGCAGCACGAGGGGCTGCCGGAGCCCCTCACCCTGAGATGGGGTAAGGAGGGGAGTGGAGAGTCATGTCTCTTCTCAGGGAAAGCAGAAGCCCTTCTGGAGCCTTCAGTAGGGTGAGGGCTGAGGCCTGGGTTCATGGCCCCTCACCGTCCCCTCCTTTCCCAGAGCCATATTCCCGTCCCACCATCCCCATCGTGGTCATTGTTGCTTGCCTGGCTATCCTAGGAGCTGTGATCACTGTGGTAGTTGTCACTGTTGTGATGTGGAGGAGGAAGAGCTCAGGTAGGGAAGGGGTGGGGTGGGGTCTGGGTTTTCTTTTCTGACTGGGGGCTTCAAGCCCCAGGTAGAAGTGTGCCCTGTCTCATTACTGGGAAGCACCATCCACACGTGGGCAGACCCAGCCTGGGCCCTATGTGCCAGCACTTACTCTTTTGTGAAGCACGTGTGACAATGAAGGACAGATGCATCACCTTGATGATTGTGGTGATGGGGTCCTGATTCCAGCAGTCACAAGTTAGGGGAACGTCCCTGCTAAGGACAGACCTTAGGAGGGCAGTTGGTCCAGGACCCACACCTGCTTTCCTTGTGTTTCCTGATCCTGCCCTGGGTCTGTAGTCCTAGTTCTGGAAACTTCTCTTGGGTCCAATAACAGGAAGTTCATCTAAGATCTCATGGCCCTGCCTCCCCTCCCAGGACATTTTCTTCCCACAGGTGGAGAAAGAGGGAGCTACTCTCAGGCTGCGTGTAAGTGGTGGGGGCGGGAATGTGGAGGAGCTCACCCACCCCATAATTCCTCCTGTCCCACATCTCCTGCGGGCTCTGACCAGGTCCTGTTTTTGTTCTACACCAGGCAGTGACAGCGCCCAGGGCTCTGATGTGTCTCTCAGGGCTTGTAAAGGTGAGACTCTGGGAGGCTTAAAGTAGGCAGGGGATGGGGCAGAAGGGAAAGGACTGGGTTATAGGGATTCTTTGATTGGGACATTTCGAGTGTGTAGTGGGCTGTTCAGAGTGTCATCACTTACCATGACTGACATGAATTTGTTCATGACTATTGTTTTCTGTAGCCTGAGACAGCTGCCTTGTGTGGGACTGAGATGCGGGATTTCTTCACACCTCCCCTTTGTGACTTAAAGAGCCTCTGGCATCTCTTTCTGCAAAAACTTCTGAATGTGTCTGCGTCCCTGTTAGCATAATGTGAGGAGGTGGAGAGACAGCCCACCCTGTGTCCACCATGACCCCTGTCCCCACGCTGACCTGTGTTCCCTCCCCAGTCATCTTTCCTGTTCCAGAGAGGTGGGGCTGGATGTCTCCATCTCTGTCTCAACTTCATGGTGCACTGAGCTGCAACCTCCTACTTCCCTACTGAAAATAAGAACTGAATATAAATTTGTTTCTCAAATACTTGCCATGAGAGGTTGATGGGTTAATTAAATAATTCAATTCATAAAATTTGAGAGAGAAAATAAAGACCTGAGAACCTTCCAGAATCCGCATGTTCGCTGAGCTGAGTCTGTTGCAGGTGGAGATGGAGAAGGCTGTGAGGAGCTGAGTGTGGATGGGGCCTGTGCCCAGTTGCTGTTGAGTCCATCATGGGCTTTATGTGGTCAGTCCTCAGCTGGGTCAGCTTCACTGCTCCATTGTTTTTGTTCCATCAGTGGAAACTTGTCCAGCAGGTGCTTTGACCACAGAGGCTCAGACATCTCCCAGGGTGGCTCCTGCATACGGGAGTCTCTGTGTTTCTGAGATAAATTTTCAGACCCATTCAGCTCCTGGCCTCCTTCTAGGGCTCCTCTTCTGCTCTGCTCTCCTGCCCTCTCTCCCTGCCCTGGTTCAAGTGATCTTGGTGCTGGCTCCAATCCCAACTCATGAATCTAAAGCAGAGGCTAATTTAGACTTACATTTGTTTGTGAAATTGGATCCATCATGAAGGACTGTTCCTCCCTGAAGAGAGAAACCTGATTACGTGCTGCAGTGTGCAGAGGGGGAGGGGGAGGGTTGGTGTGGGAGGAGGGTTGGAGGTGGGACACCACAAGCAGCCCTGCTGAGAAAAGCACAGGCAGCCTCGATGTCAGTGTGAGGGGACCTTGTGCTGTAGCTGCCACAAAACAGCACTTGGCCTGAGTTTATGTTAACAAAGACACTGTCTTTAGATTAGTGAGGTGCTCTACAGTGATCATTCATTCAACTGACCTTTGTTGTCTGCCAGACATAGGACAGAATGATTCTGCATCTGGGGAACACTATTGAAGTAAAATCAGAAAAATCTCTGATCTTGTGGAGCATGTGTTTCAGTGGGAAGAGGCAGACGACAGATACACTATAAGCAGAGTAAGGAAGGAAAGTGCTAGAAGGTGGGAAGTGCTGTGAGGCAGGTGATCCAGGATGTGGACAGTGAGGACAGGGAAGGTGGCTGTTGTACAGCAGTGGTCAATGTGTGCCTTGTTGCAAAGGTGACCTTTAAGGAAAGATTTGAGGGACATAAGGATGTCTGGGGAAGTTCTTTCTAAGCAGGGGAACTCCATGCAAATGCACTAAGGCAGAAAGGTGTCTATGTTCCCAGAAGAGCAAGGAAACCAGGAGGGCTGGACAGAGAGAAGCTAGATGAGGTCAGTGGTATGGCTTCAGGGGATTGGGGTTGGATCTGATCGTTGCTCTGAGTGGGATGAAAAGTTGGAGGACAGTTTTGAGAAGAGGGCTATGATATGACTTCTCTTTTAAGTGTGTGTGTATGTATGTATGTATTCTCTTTTTTATTATTATACTTTAAGTTCTGGGGTACATTTGCAGAACATGCAGGTATGTTACATCAGTATACACGTGCCATGGTGGTTTGCTGCATCCAACACCCTGTCATCTACATTAGGTAATTCTCCTAATGCTATCCCTCCCCTATTACCCCACCCCGTGCTACCCCTTCCCTAGACCCCATCCCCTTACAGGCCCCAGGGTGTGATGTTCTCCTCCTTGTGTCCATGTGTTCTCATTGCTCAACACCCACTTATGAGTGAGAACATGTGGTCTTTGGTTTTCTATTGTTGTGTCAGTTTCCTGAGAATGATGGTTTCCAGCTTCATTCATGTTCCTGCAAAGGACATGAACTCATCCTTTTTTATGGTTGCATAGTATTCCATGGTGTATATGTGCCACATTTTCTTTATCCAGTCTATCATTGATGAGCATTTGGATTGGTTCCAAGTCTCTGCTATTGTGAACAGTGCTACAATAAACATACATGTGCATGTGTCTTTATACTAGAATGATCTATAATTCTTTGAGTATATACCCAGTAATGGATTTGCTAGGCCAAATGGTATTTCTAGTTCTAGATCCTTAAGCAATCGCCACATTGTCTTCCACAATGGTTGAACTAATTTACGCTCCCAGAAATGGTGTAAAAACATTCCTATTTCTCCACATCCTCTCCAATATCTGTTGTCTCCTGATTTTTTAATGATCGCCATTCTAACTGGTGTGAGCTGGTATCTCGGTGTGGTTTTGATTTGCATTTCTCTAATGACCAGTGAGGATGAGCCTTTTATCCTGTTTGTTGGCTGCATAAATATCTTTTTTGACAAGTGTCTGTTCATATCCTTTGCCCACTTTTTCATGAGGCTGTTTGTTTTTTTTCTTGTAAGTTTATTCAAATTCTTTTAGATTCTGGATATTAACCCTTTGTCAGATGGGTAGATTGCAAAATTTTTTTCTAATTCTGTTGGTTGCTGATTCACTCTAATGATGGTTTCTTTTGCTATGCAGAAGCTCTTTAGTTTAATTAGATCGCATTTGTCTACTTTGGCTTTTGTTGCCATTGCTTTTGATGTTTAGTCATGAAGTCCTTGCCCATGCCTATGTCCTGAATGGTATTCCCTAGGTTTTCTTCTAGGGTTTTTATGGTGCTAGGTCTTATGTTTAAATCTTTAATCCATCTTGAGTTAATTTTTGTATAAGGTATAGGGAAGGGATCCAGTTTCAACTTTGTGCATATGGCTAGCCAATTTTCCTAACGACATTTATTAAATAGGGTATGCTTTCTCCATTGCTTGTTTTTGTCAGGTTTTTCAAAGGTCAGATGGTTGTAAATATGTGGCATTACTTCTGAAGGCTCTGTTATGTTCCATATCTCTGTTTTGTTAACAGTGCCGTGCTATTTTGATTACTGTAACCTTGTAGTATGGTTTGAAGTCAGGTAGCGTGATGCCTCCAGCTTTGTTCTTTTTGCTTAGGATTGTCTTGGCTAGGCAGGCTCTTTTTTGGTTCCATATGAAGTTTAAGATGATTTTCTTCCAGTTCTGTGAAGAAGGTCATTGGTAGCTTGATGGGGATAGCATTGAATCTGTAAATTACTTTGGGCAGCATGGCCATTTTTACGATATTGATTCTTCCTAATCATGAACATGGAATGTTTTTCCATCTGTTTGGGTCCTCTCTTATTTCCTGGAGCAGTGGTTTGTAGTTCTCCTTCAAGCAATCCTTCACATCACTTGCTAGTTGTATTCCTGGGTATTTTATTATCTTTGTAGCAATTGTGAATGGGAGTTCACTCATGATTTGGCTCTCTGTCTGTTATTGGTATATAGCAATGCTTGTGATTTTTGCACATTGATTTTTTTTATCCTGAGACTTTGCTGAAGTTGCTTATCAGCTTAAGAAAATTTTGGACTGAGTCGATGGGGTCTTCTAAATATACAATCCTGTTGTCTGCAGATAGAGACAATTTGACTTCCTCTTTTCCTAATTGAATATGCTTCATTTCTTTTTCTTGCCTAATTTCCCTGGCTAGAACTTCCAATACTATGTTGAATAGGAGTGGTGAGAAAGGGGATCCTTGTCTTGTGTGGAATTTCAAAGTAAATACCTTCAGTTTTTCCCCATTCAGTATGATATTGGCTGTGGGTTTGTCATAAATAGCTCTTATTATTTTGAGATATTTTCCATCAACACCTAGCTCATTGAAAGTTTTTAGCATAAAAGACTATTGAACTTTGTCTAATGCCTTTTCTGTGTCAATCATGTGGTTTTTGTCTTTGGTTCTGTTTAAGTGATGTATCATGTTTATTGATCCGCGTATGCTGAACCAGCGTTTCATCCCAGAGATGAAACCGACTTGATTGTGATGGATAAGATTTTTGACGTGCTGTTGGATTCATTTTGCCAGTATTTTATTGAGGATTTTCACATCAATGTTCATCAGGAATATTGGCCTGAAATTTTCTTTTTTAGTTTTGCCTCTACCAGGTTTGGTATCAGGATGATTTTGGCCTCTTAAAATGAGTTAGAGAGGATTCCTTCTTTTTCTATTGTTTGGAATCATTTCAGAAGGAATGGTACCAGTTCTCTTTTTACCTCTGGTAGAATTTAGCTGTGTTGCTGCCTCAATTTCAGACCCTGTTACTAATCTATTCAGGGATTCGACTTCTTCCTGGTTTGGACTTAGAAGGGTGTAAGTGTCCAGGAATTTACCCATTTCTTCTAGATTTTCTGGCTTATTTGCATGGAAGTGTTTATAGTATTCTCTGATGCTAGTTTGTATTTCCGTGGGATCGGTGGTGATATTCCCTTTATCATTTTTCATTGCATCTGTTTCATTCTTATCTCTTCTGTTTGTTATTAGTCGGGATAGCAGGCTACCTATTTTGTTGATCTTTTCAAAAAACCAGCTTGATTCATTGATTTTTTTAAGGGTTTTTCATGTCTATTTCCTCCACTTCTGCTTTGATCTTAGTTATTTCTTGTCTTCTGCTAGCTTTTGAATTTGTTTGTTCTTGTTCCTCTAGTTCTTTTAATTGTGACATTAGGGTGCCGATTTTAGATCTTTCCTCCTTTCTCTTGTTGGCATTTAGTGCTATAAATTTTCCTCAACATATTGCTTTAAATGTGTCCCACAGATTCTGGTACATTGTGTCTTTGTTCTCATTGGTTTCCAAGAACATTGTCATTTCTATTTTCATTTCATTATTTATCCAGTAGTCATTCAGGAGCAGGTTGTTCAGTTTCCATGTAGTTGTGTGGTTTTGAGTGGTTTCGTAATCCTGAGTTCTAATTTGATTGCACTGTGGTCTGAGAGACTGTTTGTAATGATTTCCATTATTTTGCATTTGCTGAGGAGTGTTTTACTTCCAATTATATGGTGTATTTTAGAACAAGTGTGATATGGTTCTGAGAAGAATGTATATTCTGTGCATTTGGGGTGGAGAGTTCTGTAGATGTCTATTAGGTCCACTTGATCCAGATCTGAGTTCAAGTCCTGGATATCCTTGTTAATTTTCTGTCTCATGGATCTGTCTAACGTTGACAGTAGAGTATTAAAGTATCCCACTATTAATATGTGGGAGTCTAAGTCTCTTTGTAGATGCTTAAGAACTTGCTTTATGAATCT